TGATTATATATAGGTTTCACTATTTATAATCACCATAATATAATATTTATACCGCAGGTGATTATATATAGTTTACTATATATAATCACCCCTATTTATAATCACATAATTTTTGAAAACCAAAAGTGGTGATTATAGACAGGTCTGACTGTATTTCCAAAAATTAAAAAAAAAAAAACCCGGAAACCAAATTTTTTTTATTTTAATTATTATTTTTTGAAAACGAAAAAAAAATAAATATTTTTTTTTTACTTTAAAACGAAAAAATGCCAGGAATATTAGAAAAAACAAACAAAGTTATTGACTATCAAATGTATTTTCAGGTAAAGGATTCAATTCTAACCGTTTCATACCTCCTCTTTTTTTTTTCCTTTTCCTTTTTTTTCTGTTTCTTTTTTTTATTTTTTGAAAAATATTTCTAAAATTCTTACATATATATATATTTTTAAAGTCAAATGCCAGTACGCCTCTTTGGAAACTTAAAGGACCTGGTAGACTTGGAGGACCTGCTAGAATAGGTTTCGTGTATTTATACTTTGGAAGTCTTGCTTTAGGTTTAACAGGTTCAATTTACGGTGTTTCTAACATGGCAAGGGTAATTATCTCTGTTATTTTCATTTTTAAAAAATCATTTCAAATATTTTCTAAATTCTCTTAATTCTAATAATATAAATTATTTCTTTTAGGGAAAGAAGAATTAAATTGTTTTAATAATATTGCGCTTGTATATTTACATTTTAATTAAAATAATAAAACAAAAAGGGGATCCAAAACTTTTTGTTGAGAAATTTTGTCAAGATAATATCATCTAAACGAATATTTGTAGAATAATAATTAATAAATTAATACTTTTTTTTTTTCTTTTGCTTTAAAAAAAAAAAAAAGAGTAGTTATTTTTAATATAAACATTCAGATAATAATAATATTGGTAATTAATGAATTCATATAAAAGGTTTGATATATAAATCCCTACACAAATAATAATAATAATCATAATGATAATAAACAAACCCAACTTGTTATTAAAAATTTACAAATCTTTTCATATACAAAAAATCAATAAAAAAGTTATTCTTTATAAATATTTATATGAAAAATTTGTAATAATCTTTATAAAGTCCCCCCAAAAAATCATTTTTAAGTGAATTGTTCAGTTATGCAACATCATTTGGAAACATGATATCCATTATATGAAAAAAAACTAGATTTAATTAAAAAAAAAAAAAAAAGGAATCATAAAAATTATATTTGCCATTTGCTTTAATAAAGGTCGAATTATGGAGCCGAGTCCATTATTAACACAGTGTATTCCTTATATATCTGTTAACAAAATATATTGTAGTATATATATTATATGTTATGTTAGTTCCGTTAACTCCCAAAAATGAATGTAAAAGAAAAACCAAATGTCGGTTTGATTCGAAAAGAATAAAGTTTGTAAAGTTTATGAAGGAAAAAAAAACTCTCGAATTTTCGTTAGTAGTAACTAACGAAAATAATGTCCCATAAGCGAATTTAATATTGCTTTACAATATTAAAGACGAATGCAAAATTCAAACGTGTGACCATTACATCTTAGTTATTTCGAAAGGTACGAGACCATATCTCAAATATAATCTAGGCTTGGGTAGTCCTTCGAAAATGATATTACTCAGTCGAGTCTGTTGAAAGAACGTCCACCCTTGTGAACATCGTTCAACTTTGGATTGTTCTTCGCCAAAATGTCTTTACCCATCTTGGCAAAGTCAAAATCGCAGTCGTGCTTATCGGGTACTTTATGGCTATCACAGAAAACGTACTCTAAAACCGATCAAATATATATAAAATATATAAATAAATATATATATATATACATACACATCAGGGGTCAAAGAAGGAAACGGAAGTGAAAATATTCTTATTAATAAGGTTATCAATCAACCAAACTTCAAATAAAATCAAAATAACGAACAAATAACGATCAAAATAATAATCACCGCATCGGCATTTGTTAATGGTTTGCTTAGCTAAGGGGATTTTAGCCCGACACTTGAAACAACGAGCTTTGTTATTTTGAACCTGCCGTGTAAGTTGGTTTGGTTGAACTTCAGTAGAAACCTGAGAAACTACGCTAGTTACGGACATACTAGATTGAGGTAAGACCTGTTCAGAAATAGGATTTAATGGAACAGGAGTTTCTTGAAGTTCTTCTACAGTTGTAGTTGTAGATATAAGTGTAGTTGTAGGTGGCTGATTCGTTGAAGCCGAAGAGGGCATGGCGGGTTCTATAGTTTTCTCAGCTGTTGGAAAATAAGGGTTATTATGTTATCGTCTATTTTTTCATGATATAAAACGAAAAAAATTAATGTTCATATCTTATGATAATGTACATACTTTGCCCATTCTTTGCATTGCATTCCTTAAAGCATTTGGAACACATGTGGTTGTAAATACGATTACTATTTCGTGAAGTGGTTTAGATTAGTACGGAAATAATACCAAATTTAAGTAGATACAAACAAAAAATAAAACTTAAGAAAACAGTTATACTCAGGATGTTTTTTCTTGATTTAACAAGAAAAAACATAAGTCTTTAGTTTGGACTTCTTAATATTCGTTAACTTACCCGTAAAACCCACAACCATTAACACAGAATGGCATATTGGATGTATTTCTCTCCATTTTAGCTTTATTTATGGCAAAAGGTTATAATATGAATAAAGATGATAAGATCTTTGGGCTGTAATCTTATTTACCTCAAACTAGGTGAAGCGAACAAAGCTAATTATATGGAGGATGACAAAAATATGAGCTTGGACAAACCAAAAAAAAAAAATAAAAATAAATGTTGGTATATATGAAAAGGTGATGGGGGATGTATTTTATTTAACATTTATACATTACGTTACGGATTATGTCATTTTATACATAATAAAGTTGAACTTTCCTAAAATAAGCACCACGTGAATAGGTGATATATAATTAATTAATAATCAGAAATTATTATTAAATGTTTATTTTTAATAAATGAAAAAAAAAAATATATATGTATGTGTATAAATAATAAAATAATAAATTTTTCTTAATGCACTAATTATTTATTATATACTAATACCATTATGACTCTTGTAATTTTACGTAATTAGCTATAAGGAAAAAAAATAAAAATATATAGTCATAAATAAATTAATGAACAGAATTTATATTCAAAGTATTGAAAATTTACCTGGGAATAGACCAACTTTTCCATCGGGTGCTTTACCCTGCCACCAGTCATCCGAAACAAATTCAATGTCTGTAATAATAGCTCCATCTTGAAATGAAATTTCATTTTCTTCACCCGCTCCATAATCAAACAATGCTTTTGCAATATAATTTCCTTGTGATGAATCAACTGTTTGTTGTACAAGTTCAGCTTCAACTTCTTGTGTCTCTTCAATAGGCTGTTCGGATGCAACGCTCTCAACGATCTCAACATAGTTCGCTACATTATTTGAAAATGTTTATTAATATCATAAGTGGAAAAGAAGTTAAACGATTGATACAACTACTTTGATAAATTCAAATTCATAAGCCTCATTATTTACCTGGGAAAAGTCCAGTTCTTCCATCTTCACCTACCCCTTGCCACCATCCTTCATCTAACGGAACAATATCTCTAATAATCTCTCCCTCTCTTAATGGTATTTCATTATCCTCAGCTAATATAACAAATAAATAAATTTCTAATTAAATTCACGAGTTGCAATAAGAGTTAAACCAAAATGTTAACTTACCTGCATCATAAGAAAATTGAACAACTGCTGTCATACCACCAGCCGATTCGGCAGAAACTTCGGCGATCTAAGTTTATTTTAAATCATTCACTATTTGTCGGCATCAATAAACAAATTTGAATTGATAATATTACCTGTTGTTCTTGTTCAAGTAGAAGCCGTTCAGCTTCTTGCTGCTGCAAAAATTATTTTTGGTTTTGAAATCAAAATATTTAAAAGAATTTCTTAGTTATCACCTTTACACCTTTCTTATTTTGATTGACAAACCTCTTGTTCGCGTTCATATTCTAACCTCTGCCTTTCTTCTCTTTCCTCCAAGTCCCTTCTCGCCGATTCTGCTTGCTCCTTCTCCCTTCTTTCCTGATCTTCTTTAGCTTTCCTTGACCTTTCTTCCGTTTCCCGTTGTCTTTGCAATTCTTTTTCATGTTCAATTCTGTCCATTTCTTCCCGTTCATCTTGCTCTCTACGTTCAGCCTCTTCAATTTCTAGTTTTTTCAATTCTGTCTCTAACCGTTCTGCTTCTAAACGCTCTCTTTCTTCGCGCTCTATTTTCTCACGTTCTTCTTTCTCTGTACGTTTCCTCTCCTTCTCTTCACTCCCTTTTCTCTCTTCCTCCTCAAACATTTTCCTCTCTTTCTCTTGACGCTCTTTTTTCTCTTTCTCTTCACGCAATTGTCTAGCCTTCTCTTCACGATCTTTTCTCGCTTTCTCTTCGCTTTCTATTCTCTCGCGTTCTTCCTTCTCGGCACGCTCACGTTCTCGACGTGCTTTTAACTCTGCTGGAGATGGTCCAGATGGTGTTGAATTTTCAGCACGTTCTGTCCACGTTGAAAATTTACCTAGAGGTTTGGGTTTTGGGAGTTGAACCGGTTGATACACAGAACTCTTTATACGTTTATAAATATCATTCGATTAATGACTTTATATTTAAAAAATAAACAAACATATATGTATTTGTTAAACATACGACAGGCTTGATTTGTTCACGAGAAGAAGATTGTCGTTGTGCAGTGATATCCGGAATTTTTACACGTTCATATACGGAATTCTATATAATCAAAAGATATATTACATAGATGATCGGCCCAAATATCATGATGGATCCAATGACGCGTAAATCTAAAAACATGATGATATGATTGAACATACAACAGGTAAAATAGGTTCTTCCTTCCTTGCTCGTTCCTTATTAACGTTAATGGAGTACTTGGAACCCCCACTTTCACTTATACGTTTCATTATATAGTCTGGATCAACATCAGCCTAATACAGCGAAAATATAAACGTGGTGGTATTTAAATGAAGTGACTCATGAAAATGAAAACTTACCTCTGATCTAGCATTGATTTGAAGGTGATATCCCTACACGTAAGATTTACATCATTTAGACAGATATCTTTGTAATCCCTGTGAAAAATCATTCAAGTTAAATAAAAAGCAAGAACCTTTAAGAATTTTGAAACTTCATTAAAATGAGAATTGAACAGTCCTTTTTTGATTTCTGGTACCCCTTCACCACACTAATGATGAATGAATAAATGAGTGAATGGAAAATATAATCGTTTTTTAAAATTTGTCAAATTTACGCACCCAGCCTATAAGAACAAACTTTGGTAACTCCGTATTGGGATCTATCACTCTAACAAAGGCGTATTGAATTCTTCCATCGTTAAACTCTTCTACCAATTCTTCAAGCCCTCCAGCTAAAGTCATTATCAAAGAAAATGGATTAACCAAATGAAAGTACGTTCAAAAAAAAAAAAAATTATAATGTTCTCACCTCCTTTTTCTAAAACCTTCAAATCATTGCCTCCTTTATCATACCCATAAACTACCCATTCTGTATCTTTGTCACCATTAAGAACAGCTTGATATGAAGATAAAAGTGCTTTAGAATGAACATTGAAATTCACGGAAAGGCTCATTGTGATCAACGAAACTGTGTATGCGTATGTTGTTCCAATAAAAAAAATATATATATATGAAATGTAAATTGATATTCCACATAAACTTCCACAACTTTAATGAACCAGAAGTCTGGTAAACATTGTCTTACTATTTTGGTAAACATGCATGAAATGTTCCCCCCCAAAAAAAAATTGGTTAGAAATATATGTATTGTTCATTATTAAGTTTAAAAAATGATATTTGATTTCTCATGGCAGTTTTACCACCTGAATTATGGAAAGAGATCGTAGATTTCTTCTCCGATTATCAAAGTTTACGTTCTTTACTATTAGTCAATAAAACATTTAGTTCTTTTGCGGTTCGTAAACTATATGATAGGATCATTATAGGACCTCATATAGATTTCAATAAACTTGCAGACACGATCTCGATGAGAAGTAATGGAAGTGGTGAACACATTGCATATTACGATTACGCTTTTTTAACTCATACGATTTCGATCACTTCTTGCGATCGAGAAAATGAATTTCCTTGGTTTCGTCTACCACTGGTCTTGGCACAATGTTCTAACGTAAACGGAATTTTAATTAGTCCCAGGGAACAACAATATGCGGAACCACAGACCATTGCGGTAATGGAAATTGTCAGATCAACGACTTTGGTTACCAAATATCTAGCCAAGGCGGTAGAAATCCTTTCTTCAAGAAAAATTCGTAAATTATGTTTAAGGTCTTTACGATTTTTAGGAGAATTTCAACGACATGGAAGTTATTTTTCTACAGCCTTAAGTTACTTGCATGATTTAGAAAGTTTAGAACTTTGGCATGAAAATGGTAGACCATTAGGAGACGTTGGTAAAAAATGTATTGTCAAGTTAATTGAAAATAATGATTTAAAAGAACTTAATTTGGATTGTTATGTTGCGGATGATTTAGAACTTGAAAATCTCGTTTCAATATTTATTAATTTACCAAATTTACATTCATTAACTTGGTGGGGCACTAGATTTAATAAAGAGGAAGAGGAATTTCTTTATCATGTCATATTTCAACATTGTAGAAACTTAAAAAGATTAATTATTGAGGTATCGGGTTTTCATGAAGGTGAAGATTTTCTTATCCTTTCTCGACATTGTAAAGGATTGGAAGAATTAATTACGTGGCATGATATTGATGGAGGCGCTTTACCTCTTTCTACATTGATGAATTTAATTGTTAAGAATAAATCTACTTTAAAACGTGTTGATGCTTGGGTTTCCCTTGCCGACCCTCCGGTGACCACCCGTCATATGGTTAATACATTTGATGATTCGGATTTGGATACTGGTTCTGAATTGGATGACAATGATCAAAATGATCAATCAGCACAACCTGATCAATTTGAATTCTATCATCCCGCAAATACTAATTCGTATTCCGAGTGGATAGAATCCTTGTTTAATAAATTCTGGCCTACAAATAAAGCTTGGAACGATAATTATGACATTTCCGTATCCAACCCAAATCTTTCTGGGTTATTATCAACTTATAGGCAAGATATTGAAAGTGATTGGCAAATGTTGGTGGAAGAACATTTAGAAAAACCAATCAAGGATATTTGTCTCAATTTAGATGAATTAAAACTTTTCTTGACTTATTGGTAAAAGACATTATATATAATCTTTTTATAATTTAATTTTTAAATATTTCCTTTATAGAAATTGTACCTTTCGATTTAATTTATTTGTTCCTGTTTTGTTACAACAGAAGGGGGGGAGGAATCATGATATTTACTATTTCTTTTCTTTTTTTTTTTTTATAATAAAAAACAATCTTTTCCTAATGAAGTTCCGATTTAGTTTCGATAATAAAGAGTAAAAAAAAAAAAAAATCAAAAAAAAAAATCAAAAAAAAAAAAGGTATTTGTACAAAATGTCAGTAATGTTGTTAGTGGACTAATCTTTTCAATTTATGTAAGAGACAAGTTATATCTACAAAAAAAATTTGCATCTCACAATTGGAATAAAGGTCCTCAAAATCTACCGCATTTAAGGATTAACTTCATCATATCTTTGAAACACTGCATGCATGAATGTTTCACTTATTCCAGGATTTTCTCTTTCAGCATCCTCAAAAGCTTTTTTCAAAGCTTCCAATGTATTTAAAGCTTTTTGACTAGGGGCACTCTTACACAACTAATCCAAATGATAATAAAAAAAAATGTTTGGTTGTTTAATAAAAGAAATTTTAATGGAATACAAAATGTAATTTTCATTAAGATAGGTTGCAAACCAACCTTATTAATCGAGGGAACAACCACTTTTCTGAAAACTGCTGGATCTGGTGGCTGCGTGTGGCCATAAAGCTCATCATCGTATTCATCATCTGCTCCGATCGAACCTACACCTTTAATTGTGTCATACCCGGAATCGCTTTCCTTCATGGCCTTTAATTAACGGTCAATATGAACGTTAAACGTGTTAACATTAAACAACTTGAAATTTAAGACGAATGACAATTACCATTACTTGTTTTCCTTTGGATGGTCCAATTGTATCCTCTGAATAATCATCATCATCAGAGTAATGTGATGATTTTGTTTTTGATGGTTTAACAGTGTCAAACTCCCAACTTGTTTCCTCACGATCATCAACACTAAATATTCAATCATGAGATTTAATTATAAAAAAAAAGAATATTGAAAAATAAATTTTTTTTTAAAAAAAATTACCCATTCTCGGAATGTTCTGAATCGTCAGAATCTAACGGACAACCTCCTTCGGACACCCATCTTTCATGTCGTTCAATTAGCTCCGTCAAATAAGAAGTCTTCTTTGCACTACGAATAAACCTATGCTTAAGTAATTCTTTTGCCGTAGGTCGCTATATTTTTCACATAAATTCATTTTCATTACTTATTTAAAATTAAAAATTGAGCAACTTTTAATGACTTATAAGAAGGGAACATATACATTATTAGGATCTTTGTCCAAACATTGTGCAACAAATTCCTTGAATCCTTTAGAATATAAGCCATCCAAAACTGGAGATGGATTTTTGGGAATGAGAAAAAGTACTTTCATTGGGTGCTGTTCTGCATAAGGTGGTACCCCTTTGGCAAGCTCGATAGCGGTTATTCCCAACGACCAGATATCCGCCTAATAATTCATTATATTGCCACAAAATTGGTGAAAATATTTCAACAAAGAACTTTCATAGCCCATCTTTTATTACCTTAAAGTCATATCCTGATTGTATAATAACCTCAGGTGCCATCCAAAACTATATAAGAGCAAATTAAAATAAATTTCCAAACTATATCATGTGTAATAAATAATTCCACCACAACAGAAACTTACCGGAGTACCAACAAAGGTAACTTTCTTGGTCATTGTCGCTGTAAGCTATGTGAATAGATATTAAATGAGATTTATTATATCCCAATCAGCATGGAGTCTAATAGACAGTTTTAAAGGGTTATTCACCTGTCCCGAAACTCCAAAATCAGCCAGTTTCACTGCGGATCGAATAATTCAAAAAAAAAAAATTTTTTTTTAATACAAATAGGATCATAATCATAATCGCAAATCTTTTAAAAAGAATCTATTTATTTTTTACACACCATCACCGTTCGAGCTTAAAAGGACATTTGCCGCTGTTAAATAACTCGAGTTAAAATAATAAATTCTTTTAAACATTCAATTAAATTATTGTTTAACGGACCTTTAATATCTGTTATCAAATAAATAAAGATGAATTTGTTAGATATACATAAAGGAAAAAAAAAATAAATAAAAATACATATTGGATTAACGTACAAACCTCTGTGTAGTTTATTTTCGTTGTGAAGATAATCCAAGCCTTTCAGCAATTCTCTTAATATGATTGCTATATATTCTTCCCTGATAGCTCCTGGCTTCATCTATTTTCCACAGATAAAAAATCAATATTTTTTTTTTTTTAAAAAAAAAAAAAAGGTTCATGTTAAAGGGAGGAGAATCCGTACTAGATCAGAACAAGAACCACCAGAACAATATTCCATTATAATCCATAGATGCGTTCCTTTAAGATAGGAAGCATAATATCTTATAACGTTATAATAATTTTGTCAATAATGATATGATTCAAAGTATTATTTTATAGAAAGGTTGAATAATGTATTGTAAGTTACCTTGTCACATATTGTGAGTCCAATTGTGAGAGAATTGCAATTTCTTGCTGAATATCTTCAATTTCATCCTCAGCACTTTCAAGATCAATGATTTTGATGGCCACTGGAGATTTCGACTTTTTTTCATAACTATGAATGTCAATGATGATCATATCATTCATTTAAACATAATACATTTAATAGATAAAACTTAAAGATATTTATGCATCGATTTATTTCTTTTTTATTCTTATTTTTTATACTTCAATTATATTACGCTTTTCTCAAAAAACCACCCATTCAATTATTTACTTACCCTTTGTATACCTCACCAAAAGAACCTTTACCTAATAAGAAATATGAAAAAGGAAATTAATGATCAATAAATAAAATGATGAGAATCAATTCTATGATTCTGTAATTAAATGAGCCTTTTCATTTCAATTCTAATAAATTCTATTACGTAATATGGTTTGTTATAAAATTTCAAAAAGTATAGTTATTCTTGCCTATTTTATCTTGTTTAACATAATAATCTTCAGGGTCTGCCTGGTCTGAGGAACTCTATTTAGCAACCGAATAAATTAAATATTATGAATAAAGCAAATATTAAGCGTATAAGTTAAAAAGTAAAAAAAAATGTATTGCAGGTAAATTAGGTATCTTAAAACTATACAAGAATTTTAAGCACGTTACCATTGTTAATTATAAATAAAAAAAATCAAAAACAATGAAAGAATGCTAGTAAGAATTTTTTACTTTTAAACAAATAGGAAAAAATAAAAAGAGAAAAACTTTTTAAATAAATAAACGCGAAAGAAAAATTTTAGGTGAGAATGTATCCACCCCTTTTTCGGCTACTAAAAACCAATCTTTTCCATGTTCAACACTTTAGTTTATTGCGCAACATATGTAAAGGGGTATAGCAACATAAATTTAACAATCGACCCAAAGGTTCGGAAGATGTTGATCCAAATCTTTGGTAATACATTGATTGAATATCACCCAAATATTTGGTTCAGTAAAAAAAGATATTCGTTTTTTATTATTTATTTGAAAATTATGCCAAAGTCAAAGAAACCGCGAACTTCGAAAACTTCTACGAAAAAACAAGGGCAAATTTCAAAAAAAAAAGGAAAATTTGACGATAATTCACAAACTAAAGAAATTATTTCACTAGATACTGTGAATACTGAAACAAATATCGGAGATTTTTTAATCGTTGCAGGAAGTTATGAAAGAATTTTATATGGAATTAAATCGCATTGGATAAATTCTGGCGAAGAGGGTTTTGATAATGTAATTGATTTAGAATTTTCATTCGAATTTGGTTGTAATTTTTATCAATTGGGACAAATCTAATTAAATTTTAAATACGTAATTAAACAACTTGAAAGGGTAATCCTACATTGAAATTAGAGCCGATCTTTATCTTTCCAGCTCATATTGGATGTATTAAGACGGTATCCGTGGGTGGTAAATTTTTGGCTTCGGGAAGCACTGATGAAGTTATAAAGTGAGTTTACAATAAAATAATATGATGATTAGAGTATAAAGTCAATATAATTAAAATAATATTTTTTATTACCAGATTATACAATTTGAAAAATCGCAAAGAACTTGGGTCTTTATTACAACATGAAGGTTCAATAACAACTCTTCAATTCTTTGATAAGTCTCATATGTTTAGTGGAAGTGATGATGGTACAATATGTATTTGGAGAACAAAAGATTGGGAGTGTTTAAAGATCTTAAAAGGTCATAAAGGACGTATAAATTCTTTGGCGATTCATCCATCTGGTAAAATTGCATTATCTGTGTCTGCCGATAAAACTCTTCGCTTATGGAATTTATTACGCGGCCAAAAGGCTAGCGTAAACAAACTTGGAAGAGGTATTAATTATAACTTGACTCGTTAAAATTTTGAATTTAAACTTTAACCATAAAATTTTATTAGAGGGTGAAATCGTCTTATGGAATCTGTCAGGTGATCAATATGCAATTTTAATGGCTCGCGAAATCGAAATTTACAACACTTCGGTAAGATTAAAAAAAAAAAAAAGAAATTATCTCTGAATTTATTAAAAATTTATTTTGTCCCAACAATTCTCATCATTCACAATATAACAAAGGACGCCCAAATAGTACAGAAACTTCATATTGGAAATTCCCGTTTTCTTTGCATGCAATATTATACACACAAACACCTGGGAGATTTGTTGATTGTAGGAAGCGAAGATAAGACCATAAGAGTGTATGATGTTAAAAACGGTCATTGTTTTGTGATGTTATTGGGACATAAAAATAGGTAAATGATTTTTAGCTAAAAAAATTCAAAAGGATTCTCAAAAGATGATTTAACACTAACCTCCATCCATAGGATCAAGGACCTATCAATTATTCAATCAATTCCACCAAACAGTAGCGATCCTTTTCCGTTATTATCATCCATCTCCTCTGATGGTATTATCAACATATGGAATCTGGATAAAGTATTACCGCAAGACTATAAAGAAGGGGATAATACGGTTTTCGATTCACCGTTGATATCATTTGATACAAAAAGTAGACTAACTTGTGTTGTACTATCTCAAATTTGATGCCCAAGATCTAATCGTCAACAAAAAATTTGTTTAATATTAAACTTCCCGCCAATAAAGAACGATTTTAATACAAGATGAATATGTAATGCATAAATTTTTTACAAAAAAAAAAAAAAAAATTAACAATAAAGGGTATTGAGAAAAAGAAATTTGCCAATAAAAATATGGATTTTTTGTTTTGTGTTGACTGATCTTGCTACAAGGAATTAAGAGTGAAAAAAAAAAAATTTGTCAAATTATTTTGCCATTAAAACCTTGCCTGGACGAAAACAAGAAAGCTCATCATAAATAAAAATTTTACAACAGCATAAGTTATCAATCAATTGCCACCTTTACCTGGACGATAAACATACGAGAAATGTTCGTCAAAAAAAAGTTAATAGCAACAGCCAGAGCCTTCCGATATATGCTCGTATGAGACTTTCCCTGCACGATAAACATAAAAGAAGTCCATCGTCATAATAAGGTTGGTTGCAACAGGCATCTTTAGTCCCTTGTAGATATGTGTTTGTTTAAACTTAACGGCTTACGTTGGGAAGCCATTTGAGACCACAAATGTCAAAAACTCGATTTTCAAGCCTTACCCCCTGGCTTCGAATGTAGTCATCGACCATTCTCCTCGTGATGCAGATGAAACGATTTTGGTTACGTTTCTGGGTGTACTCCTCGTCACGGTGCAATTGATATTGCTGGTCTTTCTGCTGGTCATTATTGTGAACCTGATAGTAAGGTTCGTATCGGTGATCTCCGTTAGCCATGTTATTTGTTGGGTGACTAGCCGCTGATATTGTTGTTATTTGCCTATGAGGTTTTGGATTTCTATGCTTAAGAAATCCTAAGTCACGAAGAGTTTCAATAACGTCGTCCTGACGAATACCAGTCAACTCGGAGATCTTATTGACCGAGATCTTGATTATCTCATCATTTTTCTGCTGTGTGCTTCCGTTACCGTCAGTATCAATCCCGCCGCTACTGTCTGTTCGTTCGGGAGGTGTTGTCGACGATGAGGAGGATCCCGAGCCTATGCATGTACCTTTGTAATTTTTCAAGAGACGAAGAATCGTCTTGTTCCAGTATGAGCGGTAGCCCTTCATACCCAAGTCAGAAATGGGTTTTTCCGGAGAGCCAATCTTGCCCTCTTTTTTGGAAAGCTCATAACCTAATCGTAAAGAAAGTAAAATGATAAATGGAATTCATTTGACGCAGTTCATTTGATAAAGGTACTTACTGAACTCAATTAGCAGTTGTGAATAACCTTGCCTTTGATAGGGTGGAAAGACCAGGATACATGCCAAGTTGTTGTTATCATACGATACCTTCTCCTGTATACGATAATTAGGAACATCAACAATTAAATTCATCATAATCATACATACTTATATTTCAAAAATATTTACTCTTCTCATTTTCTTTCTCTTTTTTTTTAAAAAAAAAGAAAAGAGAAAGAAAGAGAAAGAGAAAAAAAAAAAATTACAAGCCTTCGAGAAGTATCCAACGATATGCTCCTCGTTCCCGTTTTCAACCTCGGTTAAGATATAGAAAAGAAACCCTTCGACATCGTAATAGATAGTTTTATGGTCGATAAAGAACTTTGCCAAAAGACAAAGATTCTGACAGTAAAGCTAAGGAACCATGCAATGTAGAAAGAAAGTTGAGAACACCAAAAAACAGGGATCACATACGTCATCCCATAAAGATCACGTGCACAACAGTTGGTTACCTTATTCAACTTTCCGTCGACCTCGTATATCTTATTTCGACCGCTTTCATAAACCAACCCACCTGGAGAGCGCTGGTGGACGCAAAGAGTCTTTGTAGAATATCAATAAAGCGATGATGAGATTAAGAGGGGAATGACAAGTGGAAACATGACATTCTTTCTAGCCTTGAAATCGAATATATTACATACCATGTGACGTCCCCACGTCTCTTTCATCTTCATGTATTTCATGCACCTCTCACAGAAGTATACCTTTTCGAGGTACTTGTACTCGTCGGGAAATGGCGAGTAGTACCACGTGTCAATTTCGTAAAGTCCGAATACAACAGCGCCGATGTTTCGTACCTTTGTGTTTTTCTCATGTTCTTTTTCAAGAGCATCTTCCTGCTTAACATAACGAATGATATGATCTCAATCAATAAATGTCAAAAAGAAAGTTTTGCAAGTTATGATATATAAAGTTCAAATTTGTATATAAGAAAGCAAAAAAAGTTGAATCGTACATACCTTTTTTGGTCCCTTTACGGAACCACCGCCATTAAGTTTTCGCTTCTTTGAAAAACGAGCCTGTCGAGAGAGTTCCCCCTCGTCGGTTGCTTCCTCGTCAATTCCAGCTCGTTTTGCTGGAGTTGCCCCTAACGAGGAAGCAGCCACGGCCCGACCAATTCTTTCAGAGGTGACCCATTCGTCAAGCCTCCGGTCGACTAATAATGGTTTATCGAGAATTTTCGTTTAAGGTTGTTTAGTACAGATTGTTAAGTGGTAAGAACAAGAACAACATGAAAAATTAAAAGGAATACTAACACCCCTCATAGTGCACGTAGTAAAGATACTCGTTAGAAGTGTCGTCGCGGATCCTTCTTTCGAGAATTTCTGCTTTTCCTATATTCATTGAAAATTCAAGATTATTCGTGTTACTTGTTTAAACTTGAATACCAAAAGATATGTATTTGAAACACACACAACTTTTGTATATTTTTGTTTTATTAAAAAGTTTAAAGATAAATCAAAGTTTATCATATTTACGTTTTTCATTTTTCCACGTTACAAGGTGGAATGTTCCAGGTTCAAGAAGCGCCTTTGGTTCCGACTTGTTTGTCATGTTTTTGTGGTTTAGCTCTTTATAAGCTGGAAAGCGCGCGGAATAATAATTAAATTTCCACGAAATATCCAGAAATCATGCATTTATACCTGAGATGGTGTTACTCACGTCACGGTTTGTATGTTAACTTGAACGTGCGGAGTTCAGTCGAATTTTTTTGGTAATACAAACTGTCGATCCGATCAATTTTATGTGTGGCGTTTGGAATACAATGACTATTTTAGAAAGACGATAAATACTTTTCATTATTTTAATTAAAGTGGTAAGGCTGAAAAAATTGTTGAAAAGTTAAAAAATTGCTCATTGGCAAGTGAACTTTATACCTCATTATAATCCTCATCGTACATAAAATTTCAAATGAATATTTTGACACATTCTCGCAAAAATATTCATATATTATTCTCGTAAATTATCTAAATGATATCCCATTCAGCAATTCCCTAAAGCTGGCATAATAAAATTTTCGTGTTTTAAATATAAAAAACATGTTTTATGATTTAGTCATTCGTTAGGAATGTTTGTTCCAGATTCTACTCCTCACAAAACTAATCGCTGTTGCATAAAAGTTCAAAGGTGAATTCCTCACTTTAAAAATCAATGATATTATTGCAAAAGTAAATTGTAAAATTGATAATGATAATATTATAATTAAAAATAGAAAATTTTCAAAAATCACCCCCAACCAAAAATTCAATCGAAGTCAAACACGTCAACCATGCATAAATTGCTTCAGACATATTGTATATTCTAATGTTGTCGGTTAAATGAAAAATGGTAGTGATTGTAATCATTAAGAAAGAAGATAATATTATGATTTTTTATTTAACTCATGTTTCGTAAAGGATATCAATTTTGCCGCATAAAAAAAAGTTCGCGTTTTTTTGAATAAGTCTTCGATCACGCTGTGGCTAATGCATTAACTAGATAGTACGCTAATCTACTATTGGAAAATTTGCAGAACACTCAAAGAACTTCTAAAATTTGATTTACAAAACAAATAATATAAATATTTAGATTTTTGTGCTATTGCGTTCATAGAAATAATGTACTAAATATCAAACAGATATAGTTTAATGCTTTCCATTATTTCATGTATGCAATCCTCCATTTTATTAGTTATTTTGCATAGCTTATTCACCTTAATTAGCCTATATTGTCGGTCATCTTTTGAATGAATTCCTTTTTTTTTTTTTTTTTTTTTTTTTTTTTCCTTTTTTACTAATATATTTTATAATGAGGATTCTTTAAATAACTCGTTATATCAATAAATATATGATTTCGTGGCGTTGTATCACAAAATATCCTTAAATAGAAAATGATTCAGGGTCTGAGAGCAGCACTTTGTAGTACAACGATCTGTCAAGGAGATGAACCATGTTCAATTCTTTACGGATTAATTTTTGTCCTAGACAGAATGCGATCGATTGTTGGTATTTTGATTCATATATTAGCATTTAATTAAAGTTCTTTAATGTCCAGTTTATTATCATAACAAATCACGATTTTAATATTCCTTTTCGATGTAAATTATTCTAGCATGTAAATAAAAAAAAAAAATAAAAATAAAAAAAAAAAATCCAAAAATGACCAATAAATAATAAACCAACATAACAAAAGAATAAATTTTTTTATTTAAGTGAAACACAGTGATTATTAGACCTCTTAAACCATCTTCCTTCGTGAATTATTAAAATTAAATGCTTAACTCCTCCTCTTATCGGAGGCCTTCTGTTAGATCGTAAAAAGTTGGAGTTAATAATTAAATACTTGGATGACAAAACATAAAACCATATCAATTTTACATACAGCCAAAATGTCGCTAAATTCTTGATATGGTGACTGCTTAAACTCGGTATCTTTCCACAAGTCGGGTGTCAAGAAGCCGTAAGTATTGCCAATGGCGGCGAAGGTGGCCTTAACAAAATTACCCAGAGTACGAGTGGAACCACGAGACGTGGTGTAACAGTCAGTGATACCTGCTAATTGTAAAAGTTTTTTAGGAGTGGGAGCGGCGACAATACCGGTTCCTCGAGGCGCAGGGACGAGACGGCATATAACGGAACCACATCTACCGGTAACCTTGCCAGGGACGGTGTGTGGTTCACCAAGGGATGAACCCCAATATCCACGTCGGACGGGAATTACTGAGAGTTTAGCAAGAATAATAGCACCGCGAATAGCTGTCGCTACTTCCTTGGAGCATTTAACTCCGAGACCTACGTGACCATTGGAATCGCCAATTACAACAAAAGCCTAAAAGAATTGGAGGAAAAGATATATAAATACATTAAGATATTTTGACGAAAAATAATAAAGTTTATTTACGAGACCAATTATAAATAACCTTAAACCGAGTCCTTTGACCAGCACGAGTCTGTTTTTGAACAGGCATAATTTTCATAACCTCATCTTTTAATGCAGTGCCGAAGAAACGGTCTACGATTTGATACTCCTTAATGGGAAGTGAAAATAGATATATTTCTTCAATGGTTCTAATTTTATTTTCCTTGACTAGACGGCCAAGTTTTGTCACGGGGATCCTAAATAAATTGATAAATTAAAATAAATGCATTAGAAAAAAAATTTTTTTCAAATGAATTAAAAGTATTAGTGATTAAAATAGCAACCATTCTTTATCATCTTCCTTGCGTGCACCGCGACGACCTCGACCGCGCCCTCGGCCTCGGCCTCTATCGCCACCACGACCACGTCCGAAACCACCACGTCCTATGACAATAAAAATTAACAGATTTGTTAATATATTAACTCTTATAAATTAGTGACTGAATAGGTTTATGTTTCGTCAACTTGATCCGAGAGTATTTGATATATTAAAACTTTTATTTTTTTTTTTATATTCTTTGACGTGTTTCTTGGTTTGTTTCAAAGTAATTGTCTTAACTTACCACCACGACTATCGGCCGGTGCTGAGTCAGCCATGTGCTATGATGGATATTTGGGATTTCAAGACAGTAATTTGGGGGTTAGGTCACTCAAAAAAAAAAATAGGATGATTATAAATAAAATCAATAGCGATAAAGAAATTAAGATATATAATATTGGGAAGGATAATCGTAGATACAGTACTAAGATACAATTTTTTGTTAAAAAATTAATGATAATATTGTAATTTAATGTATTGGATACTCACATAATCTTAATGTTGGATAAATTTCCCTTAGGTGGAGATTCAAAAGGAGGAAGAGAATTCTATCTTTTTTTTCGCTTTATATATTTTGTACACGTCACTTTGATACTCAACAAATCAATTTTCAGGGATTCATCATATGTATCGTTTCAAAACCTAATCAGTTACCACATCTTTGGAGTCATCTAAGCAGCTGACCTCGATCGGCATGTGATATAATTTAACCAATTCCATACGCGTTATAACAAAAGCGCGACTTTTTCATTTTGATTGTTTAAACTTCATAATGTACTCTGCTACTTCAACACCAGTTAGAACCCCTTCCAAAACAAAACTTCATAAAGACGCATCCTTTTCAAGTTTGAATCACGTTTCCAATATAAATATTAAAAATTCGAACAACTTTGTAATTTCGAGGGTAAACTTTAACTATGAAATAGTACGACATAAGAATAAATTATTTGAAGAAGAATTTATTAATTATGTGAATAGTGTGAACAATAATTTATCACTAAAAAAACAACAATGGCAAATTACTTTTTCTGCAGATAAAGGTATGGTAGATAAAAAAAAAAAAGAAAATATTGGTTACTATTTATAGATATTGGTTCATTCATGATAATAGGAGCCAGGTCGCAATTGTATGAACAAATCAAATTAACTGAGAAAAGGCAAAAGGATGACCTTGCAAGTAAGCAATTATCTTATTTTCCCAAGTATAATTTAAAAAATCAATCAATTGATTCTCTTAATATTGAATCTATATATTAAGCAAAAGAAAAAGAGAAAAGAGATATTAATAAGATTCAGTCAGAGATTTCGGAAATGAAACGCAAAAGAGAAACCATAAACGAACACGTCAGTAATTGGAGGAATCAAATCGAGAATCTGAAAAGAGATATTCAAAGGCGACGTGAAAGTAACTTATTATTTATTGTAATCTTTATTATAAGTAATTGAAAAAAATCATTTCATATATTTATACTTCAATATCTCTTTTTTATAAATTATTTTAATAGTCAATATGTCAAAGAAACAAGCTTTACAAGCACAATTTTCAAAAAATGAGCCAGAATTAAAACGATATGCGGATAAACTAGCATTCACAATGGTTGGAATGAAAGGTGATTTGTTTGTATTATTCATCAGTCTCTTATTTTATATATTTTTGTTAATATTTCAAATCAATTTCAGAAAATGTGATAACTTTTTCTTTCACATGCATATATGAGAACGATTTGTCTCGCCCATGTAAATTCACAATTCATTTGGGAGAAGAAGAACATTCGATATATAAAAGTAAATTTAATTTAGTATTATGATTTATTGATTATTTAATTAACGATTATGTGTCTTTAAAAGATTATTTTATATATATAATATTTTTTTTTTTATATTTGAAGTTCTAGAATGTAACCCACAAATCGATCAATTGGACGAAATATTATCACAATTAAATACTAAACGTGATTTTTTTATGTTTTTAAAGAAAATGAGGCAGGCTTTTTATAGACTCGCCCGATAAATTTGTGAGCATTATTTGGTAGGATAAAGTTGCCGAAGCCAAATATTTTTATCTATGAATGCGGGGTGTATGTAACTGTTCATCGAATAAATGTCTGAAACACATGGTATACTTTTTTTCTCACTCAACTGCGCATGATCTATCCGTAACTCAAACCTATATAAATTTGAATCATGATATTCTAATGAGAAAATCGCTATAATTCACTGCTTCGATATAATTATTAATGAATCGTTATTAGTAGATCAGGGCTCGTTATCAATATCACTTTAGACAAGTATAATAACGTCCTGGAATGATATAAATATGCCAGCGTATATGTTTCGAGTTACTGCTATGGTATCAGGCTCGAAAAATAATCGAGATGGAAAACAATATGATGATTTATCCATTATTAAACTCCAAAGCAATGGGCTATTCGAGTAATAGTTGCTTGATCGCTAAGAAATGGAGCATTTATCACGTGCACTGTCTTATATGCATCATCATTCGGCAAAGGCAAGATGATAGATAAGGACTATTGAAGGTTTAAGATCATAGTCAAATGGCAATTGCTGACAATTGATGATGTGAAGCCAAAGAAGGAATATTTTACTACTAAATATAGATATATTGAAACAGCAGATTTGATAAAGCATGATTGGGATTACTTGTATTCTAAAGCTAGAACCTGAAATGAAAGTTTAAGGTTTATCCCAAAATGCTTATTAGAATTATAGAAAGAGGTCTGTATCGTTGGCAAATTAAGTTTAGGAAATGATAATAAATGATAATATTTTCAAGTTTTAAATATACCAAGTAAAAAGTGAATGCTTGTTTTAAAAATCAACTAAAATTTATGTTTAAAAAATTTATTATATGATTATATAATTATTCAAGATATAAGAAATGCCAGCTATCTGATATATTAGCAATTGTAAAAAAAAATTTGTATACTTTTCTTTTAATCAAAGATTTCAGAAGATAAATATTTTTATTAAATATAAAATATAAGAGACAGACTTTACTGTAACTAATAAGCCTATAAAATTATAAACTTTTTATAATTTGATTAATATAATCAGTATTAAATAATATCTTATTATTAATTATGAACAATAACCAAGAGATGTAATACCAAAAGCATTTATTATATATAAATGTGTACAAATAAATAGTATGATTTTGGAATTAATATGAAAAGATACAGATAGAAAGAAAGTAGAACTAAATTTTAATACTAAATATTTTGTTAAAATAAAAAGTAATATATTATTATCTATATATAATTACATATAAAGTAAAATTGATTTATTCTGATAGTTTTCTCTTCTTTATTACAAAAATTTCATTTATCAAATATTCTTATAATAATATTTAATTTATTCTATTTTTTTAAAATTTTCTTGAAGTAAAATCCTATTGATTTAGATCTTAATTTATCATATTCTTTTGTATAATACAAGCTAACTTTTTAACTTAAATGATTTAAATTATTTTTGAAATTTTAATAATATTAGAATTCATATATATTTAAAATATAAATTTAAAGAATTAATATATTACTAATATTTATTTAAAGATACGAAAAAATCATTATCGGTTCCTTATGTATTTATGTTATGTAATATATGCATACCAAGTACCATTACTATATATATGGCTTTACATATAATTGATCTGCCAGAACTAAGCTTGGTACGAAAAGTTATTATATCGTTGTAATATAGAAGTATTTAATGAATGACAATAACGAAAACCTTAAAACGAATCTGTTCACTTGAGTAATATTATATATATATATACATATTTTTATATAAAAAATAGATAGATAAATAAATAAAAACTATTACAAAATCAAACATCTTTAAAATTCTGAATAAGACTTACCTCAGAGACTCATTAAATGAATAAAATTGGCATACTTTATAGGATCTAATTTAAACATTTGGCCTTTCTTACTAATTTTAATCACATGATTACCGTTAACCAAAATGTTAAGATATTCCCAACATCTAAATCGGGTTAAATTTGTACGTTTAATGATTTCTTCCATATACAATCCATCATTTGGTTTTGAACACACGAGTTTAAGGATCGCTTCGACATTTCCACGGTTTGCTTGCTAAGTTACATGTGAAGTATTAAAGTTAAAACGTGAAATGAATTGAATTTTTCTAAAGAAATTCCAAATAAAAAAATTTTTTTTACCTGTTTCTCGCGATATTTCTGTGGTAAAGTGTCAACAATCCTCTTAATCACAGCCTAGAATTATTAAGAATGATTTCAATTAACAAATAAGTTAAGAAGAAGATAATAAAATCATACCTTGATTTCCATTTGTTTATTAATCTTTCTTCTACGTGGTTTTTGTAGTACTTTGGTAGGGGTTTTGAAATTTTTTGTTTCAAGAATCTCAACTTGGGATTTTTGTGATTTTGTAGAAGTTTCAAGATTTTTTTGCTCTTCAACTTTTTTGTTTGATTGTAATTGATGTGTAGGTGTTTTCATTCGTGGTGTTGTATTTTTCGTTTGTAAGCTCACCCGTCTGTTAATGAAAGAGGTAATCGCTTCCTTTGTTGGAGCCTACAAAGACAAAATAGATATATTAATTTCCAATAAAGAGTTCAATGGTTTTTTAAAGTACTTATTCCATACCTCGGAAAATTCAACGCAATGAGCATTCATTTTAATGCCATATAAGAATCCAGAAAAAGCTTTATTAAATTCATTCAAAGATTCTTGAACTTTTTTAATATTTTCAAAATTCTCTAATAAACTATTGAAAGATTTTTCTAATTCTATTAAGGGCGTTTCAAAGCAATCCAGAATAAAAGAATCATTTGAACTGGAAACTCCGAGAAGGCCTGTTGAAATATTATTATTTTTTAAGGTATAACCTCGCGACAAACGTCTATTTTGTTGTTCTGCTCTTACTGATAATGAGAAATTCATATTTTAATTATTATAAAACAAAATATTTTGTTTTTTTAAAAAAATAAAAGGAACGCGAAAAAATCATTTTATGATCATTGGCTCATTTTATCAACAATAGTCACGTGCTCAAATTAACTTACAAAGGTTGGAAAGTTGAAAAGTTGGACCAAATACCCTTTCTAACCTTTTTAACACAACTTTATTCATTTTACGCGTTTTTATCTTTAAAAGCCAAATTTTTATGTTATTTATATATTGAGCATTTGATTTTCATAAATTAAAGGGAAAAAAATCTATACTATAAGATATTTTGAATAAAGAAAATATACGACTATAATTTAAAATCCTTCATTTGATATTGATAGTGATATTGTTATCGCCCAGATTAAAGAGTGATAATTTACAGAAAAGGAACACACTTAATTGAAATTTAAATTAAAGGATATACTTTATTATTTTATTTTTGATACAATAATGTAATTCCGTAGGTTTCGTAAACTTGGGTTTGGAACTGAAGAACCTCATCTATGGAGTCCATTACTCCATGACAACGTCATGCTTGACATTTGATTCACATCCTTCCGACGCCCCCCATTCCTCATCACATTTTTGACAGAACTCCTTACAACCTTCTGTGGTCAGCTTTTGTTCGATTTGGTCGCAGTTCATACATCGTTCACGCAAGTCACATCCCAATTCTCCTTCAAGCTTATTGCAACACGCGTATTTCAAAATGCAACCTTTCTCATCCCATTTCTTATCACATTGATCACATTCTTCAAGACATCCTTTCTCATTATATTGCCTATTACAAAATTTGCATTTATAACCCTCTGATAGTTTTTCGTGGACAAAGTAACCACCAGCAGCCGCTAAACCTACTGCAGCAGCAATAGGTAGAGCGATGGTTCCTGCTATGGCCCCACCACCGAAAATGATTCCTGGTTGTGCAGCAGCAGCTATATTAAGGGCATAGCCTCCTGCAGTTAAACTACCAACCGTACTTGTAACCACACCAACAGTTGAAGAATCAACTTTGTGTTTATCGATTTCTCCATCATCTGGTTTCCAATGCCTATAAATACGATTACCTGCGTGATGCCACACGGCGGATTTTGGATGATATTTCTCGTTTTTTATTTCGTGTCTTTTTTCTTGTGGTAATGGATGACATTTACTAATGAAAAGTCTCGGGTCCCCTGTTTCGTCACATTTGGTGCAACGTGCTTTTTTGAATTGAATTTTGATTTTAGAGTCTTTTCTGACATAATTTTGCAATGCGGTTCCAATCTCGTCTTTACTGTATGCATTAAACCATTCAATACGATCTTCTGGATTAAGTTTAGTATATTTGTTATTTCCGGGTTTCAAATCGATGATCCAACAAGGAAAGTGGTCAACCGTGAAAATATTTTCAAAATCGTCGTCCATTAATTCTTTCATTGTATCATATGCAGCTGATCTCGGTCCTTCTGCTAGGTCTTCGGATGGAAATATTCCTTTGGTGACAATTAGAACATTCTTCCAAAAATTCGCACTATCCTTTTCTTCATCAATGTAGTCTGCCAACTTTTGAATAAATTTCGCTTCATTTTGCAGATTTGCCGTTTTTCGTATGCTCTCCGCGCAGAACCATAGGATTTTGTGAATTTCAAAGAAATTGTTTTTGCTATGTTTTTGTAAGAGGCGTAAGATTTCATGAAATGTTTCTTCATCTGTTACCCCTCTAGAATCGTTAAGCCCTGGTGTATCAATATATCGGAAGGTGCCTTCTTCATTTTCAAATAAAGTTGCTTCACAAACGGTCGAATCCTTCCCATTGTTAACTTTCGTGTCTACATTACAGAGCAATTGCCCTATTGTGCTTTTGCCTAACCCGGTACAACCTATGGCGAGAAAAGTCGTCGGAGTCGTAGTCGTCGGAGTCGTCGGAAGATACATTGAACGAAAAGTTACCAAGGAGAAACGCAAAAATTTATGATCCTTTTGTACTCTGGGAATTCATCTAACCAATAAAATTTGGTATTATTAATCTAAAATCGTTGTTGGAAGCCACTGTATACAATAGTATTCTTTACATTTATTAGACATCAGATAAAAGATGTTAACGGTTCGATCGATCTAATGAACCGATTTGTAACTGATAAATTGAAAAAAAATCTTAACCAAAAAAAAAACTTCATCATTTCATTTTCTTTTTTGCATTATGTTTCAGGTTCTAATTCTTGCCAAAAACTTATTTAATTTACACATGATATTATTTGGATTAAATAGAGAAAATAATCTCAAGAAATTAATTTTAATGTATTACTTAAAGGTGTAGCATGATAAACAATATATAACTTTTTGTATTAAATTTATATTGTTTAATGTTTTTTAAACAATAATAATACTATTGCAAATATCCTTATCTTGTTATTAACAAAATTTTAAATTGAAACTTCAAAATATTTTTGTTAAAACTTAGCTATTTGACAAATTATCTTAATAATAAATATTATATTATATAATAAACAATTTATGTATACAATCTAATAAATAATAAATTGATGAATATTATATACACTAGAGCCTACAGTTATGTGTAATGCAAAAATAAAAATTCGCATTTTAATATTACAAAAATGCAAAGTATGCAAATAAAATTTTTTATATAGTAAAAAATATACTTTATTATTTTATTGATTATTATAATATAAAAAATTTAACATTTTAATAAAATTTTCTGAAGTGATCTACATTTATCATCTAAAATTCTTTTATAATTAGAAAAATTATGTTCAACATCAACTCCTGAAATAGATAACTATATGTAAACTAATACAATACTTGATAAAAATTTGAAAAAATTCTTTTTTTTCTTATCAATATTGATTTAAATAATCACTCTTCTCAAAAATTCTACTAAATCACAATAAATTACCTATTATAAAAGAATTAGAAGGATTTTAAAATTCTGGAATTAGATTATAATTAGTTAAAATATATCTATTTTAAGATGATTGAATAAATTAAAAATTAAAATATTAAATTGCATTAAATAATAGTAAAGCAGAATGAGAATCTATATGTTTTTCAAATTTTTTCAATACTAATTTAAAAGCTTCAGAAAAAATTGAAATAAGATATTCATAATTTTGATAATTCTGAGATAATAGTTATATCATTTCTATACTAATTAGTAGGTTATTTATTACATTTTATAAAAATACTATTATTTGTTCAATTCTTGAAAAAACAAAAGGAACAATAGTCAAATTTCTTATTTTAATAAATTTAAAATTCAATATTAATCTAAAAAAATATTAAAACTTTAATTTTTATATTTTAATAAAATAATAAAAAACATTTTTAATATTTACTTTTATGTATTAAATAAAATAAATTTAATTAAAATATCTATATAAAACTTTGATTTTGATTTTGAAAAATATCTTTTAATTCTTTAATAATATTAGAATTTTTTTTTACAAATTCTTCAATAAAAAATATAATTATATGTTAATAATAATTTTTCATTCAAATTAAAAATTTAAATCAAGAATGTCATCTAGTCATGATAGGTAAAGAAGATAAATTAAACAAATAAATCTTGTATATTTTTTTCATTAAATAAACTTTTATTTATATTTAAAAGGACAGATTTTGAAATCAAATATTTTTTTCATCTTCTTTTCTTGCTGCTGAGTATACAAATAATATTTTAATATATTTAACTACAATATCTAATAATTTAAAGTGTTCAAAATTTATCTAAGTTTTACCAATAAAATTATAAATATAAGTAAAATATGTGTTATAAAATAAATATGATATTAATGAAAATAGATATTAGTAAAAGTTTTTTCATATATAATGTA